GTGTTGACCTTGTATCCAGCTACTTTACAGAATTTACTTATTAAGTCTAGATGACTTTTGGTGGAGTTCTTGGGGTCTTCTATATAGAGTATCATGTCATTTGTGAATAATGACAATTTTACTTCTTCCTTTCCTATCTATTCATTTTATTTCTTTTTCTTTTCTAACTGCTGTGGCTAATGTTTCCAAAACTATATTGACCAGGGATGGTGATAGTGGACATCCTTGTCTCATTCCTGATTTTAGTGTGAAGGATTTCAGTTTTTGACCATTTAGTATGAAATTGGCTGTTGGATTTTCATAGATAGCTTTTATCAGATTGAAGTAGAGACCGTCTCTTCCAATTTTTTGTAGAGTTTTTATCATAAATGTGCATTGGATTTTGTCAAATGCTTTTCCTGCATCTATTGAGATGATCATATCATCCTTGACTCCATTGATATAGTGTATTGCATTTAGTGATTTGTATATGTTGAACCATCCCTGCATCCCTGGCATGAATCCCACTTGATCAGAGTGTATGATCTTCCTGATGATCTTCTGCATTCTATTTGCCAGCATCTTATTAAGGATTTTTACATCTATGTTCTTTAGTGAGATTGCCCTAAGTTCTCTTTTTCGGTTTGGTCTTTCTCTGATTTGGGGATCAAGGTGATGCTTGCTTCCAGGAATGAATTTGGGAGTATTGCTTCCCTTTCAATTTCATTGAAGAGTTTCACCAGTAGTGGCAGTAGTTCTCCCTAAATGTGTTGTAGAATTCAGCAGTGAAGCCATCAGAACCCGAGATTTTCTTAGTTGGTAAGTTTTTAATTATGTTTTCAATTTCATTGATTGATATTCGGGTGTTTAGAATTTTTAGGTCTTCTTCGTTCAACTTTGGCAATTCATATGTATCTAGGAATCTGTCCATTTCTTCTGTGTTTTCCATCTTATTGGCGTACAAGTTCTCAAAGTAGGTATTCATGACCCTCTGGATTTTTGCTGGGTCCATTGTAATTTCATCGTTTTCATTGCTAATTGCATGGATTTGGGCCTCTTCTTTCCTTTTTCCGATAAGGCTGGTTAAGGGATTGTCAATTTTGTTTATTCTTTCGAAGAAATAACTCTTGGCTTCATTAATTTTTTGTATCGCTCTCTTAGTCTCCATTGCATTGATTTCTGCTCTGATCTTTATAATTTCCTCCCTTGTCTGAGCTTTGGGTTTTGCCTGCTCTTCTTTTTCTAGAAACTTGAAGTTCAGCATTAGGTTTTTTAATTGGGCTCACTCTGTTTTCTTAATATGAGTATTCACTGCTATGAACTTCCCTCCTAAGACTGCTTTTATTGTGTCCCATAGATTCTGATATGTTGTATTGTCATTGTCATTTATTTCAAGGAACTGTGTGATTTCTTCTTTAATTTCCTCTGTGACCCATTGGTTATTCAGAAGTATGTTGTTCAATTTCCATGTGTTTATGAAATTTTTGTGGTTTCTTTTGCTATTGATCTCCAATTTCATTGCACTATGGTCTTATAATATACAGGGGATAACTTTAATTCCTTTGCACTTACTAAACATGTTCTATGAGCGAGTATGCAGTGTTTTGGAGAACAACCCATGTACGGCTGAAAAGAATGTATATTCTGATTTTGTGGGGTGGAACACTCTGTAAACATCTGTTAAATTCATTTGTTCAAGAGTTTGATTGAGTTCTAGTATTTTGTTACTTATTTTTCTTCTAGTTGATCTATTTGTGACAGTGCGGTGTTTAGGAGCCCCACTAGTATTATATTAGTGCTTATTTGATTTTTCATGTCTGTTAGTATTTGTTTTTTATAGTTTAGTGTACTAGTGTTTGGTGTATATATATTTATGATTGTCATCTCTTCCTCTTGGATTGTTCCCTTTTCAAGTATGTAATGTCCTTCTTTGTCTCTCTTAGTCAGTGTTGGTTTGAAATCCACTTGATCTGCAAACAGGATACCTACTCCTGCTTTTTTTCAGGTTCCTGTCACATGGAGTATTGTTTTCCACCCTTTAACTTTCAGTCTATGAGTTTCTTTTTGAATTATGTGTGTTTCTTGTATGCAGCATATTGCTGGATCTTGCTTCTTGATGCATTCTGTCAGTCTATTTCTTTTGATTGGTGAATTGAGACCATTAACATTGATGGTTTTAACTGATACATATTGACTTATCGTTATCATGACTTTTTTTGTTGTTGGATTCTCCCCCTTTGCTGTAATTTCTTGTCATGCCTTTCATTCTGTTGGGCTTCCTGTGGTTTTGATCCTCATTGTCTTTTCCTAGGATATTGTCTAAAATTTTTTGAAGTGCTGGTTTGATTTTCTTGAAGTTCCTAAGGTGCTCTTTGTCATGAAAGTATCTTATTTCTCCATCAGTCTTGAAATATAGTTTTTCAGGGTACATCAATCTGGGTTGGAGGCTGTTTTTCTTTAGGGCTTTAGTCACTCCAAGCTCTTCTTGACTTGAGGGTTTGTGTTGAGAAGTCTGCTGTGATTCTGATGGGCTTTCCTTTGTATGTTGATTTGTTTCTTTTCTCTCACTGCTTGTAGAATTTTGTTCTTCTGTTGGGTTTCTGGAATCTTAACTATTTTATGCCTATGTGTAGATTTTTTCTTTGATTAAGGCTAGTTGGAGTCCTATATGCCCCACTTATCTGTCAAGTTCTTTTCCCCTGATTCTGAAGTTTTGTGCCATCACTTCTGTGAACATTTTTTTCATGTCATCTGCACTCTCTCCTGTTTCTTCATTGACTCTGATCAGTCTTATGTTATTCTTCTTTGCATCATCTAGTAGCTGCTGGATTGATTTCTCATAGTCCCTTACTATTTTAAAGTAATTTTTCTTTTCCTGGTCACTAATTGCAATCTTTTGTTCTATATCTGAAATTCTGTCCTCACATTGGCTCATTCTGCTGCGTAAACTTTCGATGGAGTTTTTAATCTCCTGGAAATCTGTTTGCATCTGTTTTATGGATTCCAACTGTTTCCTATGTTGGGATTCCATCATGTTCCTCAGCTCCTCTATTTTTTTATCTATATCCTCTCTAGTTTTATTAATCATGTCTTGCACTATGGGCACAATCTCTGCTGTTACCTGAGAAATTATTTCTGATTTCATTTTTTCCAGATCCTGTTTTCTTCCCAATTCTGGGATTCCAAGTGGTTGAGTATCAGATTGTCCCATCTCATTTCCCTTTGGCGTTGCTTTAGGTGATCTGAGAGTCTAGTTTTGATATTTGTTTAGGTGTGTTTGCCTTTCCATGGGGCATGCTGCTCTGCTCCTTGGTGCTGGGAGTGGTGGTACAGTGGCCCAGAAGGCTTACCTCCTCCTTGTTGTTGGGGGTGGCTCTTTTCTTTCTTTTCAGGACATTGTCTTGCTAAATTGGCCAGACTGGGCTCAAACTTGTGATCTCCCTGCTTCATCCTCCCAGAGTGCTGGGATTATAGGAATGCATACACCACCACACCCAGATCATGTAACAGCATTTATTTAAATGTTACTCAACTCATGTTTATTAACTTCAAAGATGAAGATACTGAGCAGGAAACTGAAAGACACAAAACTTATCCTGTATTTTGGGTCTCGATGCAAAGTCTGTCAGAAAATAGCAAAGGAAATGAATAAAGAAGACATAAGTACTATTCAAGTCAAAAGGCTTCACCTCAAGATCAATGTGGATAGAGGGATCAACAGCATTAAGGGCAAAAAACAGGCACAAAGTGATGGTTTGCCTTTGTCTCAATGTGCTGGGGCAAGAGGCTTCATCCCAAACCTTTCTATATTTCAAACTATAAAAAAAGAAAACATCCTTGTAGCTCTTCTACTTGGGTGAGGCCAAAGAAGATAAATATGCAAGTAAGGTTCTGGGAAAGGGGAAGAAGGAAAACAAAAGAAAAAAGAAAATCTGGCTATCCCTTTTCAAAATATCATTTTTGCCATGAAATCTTCTTCAGTTCTTAGTCTGGAAGGGTTAATTATGGACAGTTTTATTCATTAAATAATATTATTTTGAGGCTAAAAGCCAAAGTTTCTACTTACTTTGAGGAATGTGAAATTAGGCCCACTGTCCTTCTTAGCACAGTCATGATTTAGTTTTGTAGTGCTTTCTGCCTTTTCAATTGACCTATACCCTAAATTAGATTGTTTTACTACTTATTCGGATTTTTTTACTACCTCTTTAGAATGGATTGATCCATTGCTTCATTCGTTTATTCACAGATCCACTCTTGAAATAATCGTTTAACCTATCAACCCATTAATCCCTGAATAAATCAATCCATTCTTGAGGGTGGAGCCCACTTGACCTCACCATCTCTTAAAGGTGTCATTTGGTCTCATCTCTTAATATCTGACAATGATGATTAAATTTCATCAAGAGTTTTGGTGGAACCATTCAAATCATAGCATTAAGGAGCGTCATGTCAATGGAATCATACACAATCTGTTCTTTTATATCTGGCTTACTCCTTTAGTATAATGTCTTCAAGGTGCACTTAGGTTTTGGCTTATATCACAGTTTCACACCTCTGTATGGCTAACTATTCTCATAAATGTAGCACCACACCCTAGGTCAGTTTGTCAACTGTGGACCTGTGGAAGACCACATATCATTGTAATATGTACAGTTTCCCCACCTGTCAAGAACTCATCCCATCTCTTTGGGGAAAATCATTCCATCAAAACTTCCTGCAGTAAAATGTAAGCTATGTAGCCTTCTTTGTTTTGTTCTCCACTTTGTTGCCAGATAGTTAGCAGGATATCTAGTACATAGCAAGCACCCAACAATCATTTGTTGAATTCTTCCCATGATCCTACCCTAGCCATTCCTCCTTTTTATTTTAATGCACAGTTATTACCTATTTTTCCTAGAGTAATTATAGATGTGTTTTGAGTCAGTACCTCATGCAACCTAACCCAACATCACAGGGTGCCCATTTCCCCTGGCTGTACACACCATTCTCAATTGGCCTGTGTTTGCTGGCTCTCTTCACAGAGGTAAAAGATTATGAGCCTCCATTTGGTTCCAAGGTGCGGGAGCACCCTTGTGTTGAGAGCATGAAGGACAATGTGTTAAGAGACAGAGGACGACCAGAAATTCCCAGCTTCTGGCTCAACCACCAGGTAAGAAGATGACAGCTGAAGGGTGAATAAGATTCATCTAAAGTAGCCTCTTAGGTAGGAGAGAATTCTGGGATATTGGCTTAAATCTCAGGCCAGGTACCTTTGTGTCCCAGCTAGGGTTTGTTTATAAAGAAAATTGCAGTAAAATGGATGCCACTGTTGTTATAAGTTGCAACCAGCAGGTATATAACTCACTAATATCCATTTAAAGGGCAATGGGCATACCATCTAAGCCCTTTTGGGTCTAGGTTAAAATGTCATGCTTGCAGCCTCTGCTGTTCCCTCCCCATGCCTTTACACCGAAGGTCACATGTCATTCCTTCTGGATTTTAACTCATTTCCTCTGGGATTCTCCAGTTCTAGAAAGAAATCCCAGGCAACAGTGAAACAAGCAAGGTCTTCAGGCAGCTGGAAATGAGAAATGACTGTAGGGGCAAGGCAGTGCCCAAGCTGTACATACGAAGCTGTGAGGGGCCTGTGAGGGGGGATTCAGTGAAGGAAAGGCAAACCTGCCTTTATCTTTCTCTTCAAGAAATGGAAGTTCGGGTTGCTTATAGCAGAGCAGTGGTCTGGACTTCAGGGAGTCCTGTTCAAATTCATTGCTTTTCTGGGTACTTGTTGAGGGCAGTGGGCAGAGACAAAGAGGACAACAGTCTTTTGTGATTGAGGGAGCATTGGCCATATGTGCGATACACTCAAGAAAGAGCCCTTAGTGAAGAATGAGAGAGAACAGTGTCCCACTGACAAAACAATTCTTTCTACTAAGTAAAACCTTTGATTGCCTTTATTGGATGGAGTCCCTCATCTCTGAAGACTAAAGCTAAGTTGTAGGGTTTCCTAAGGGCAAGGCGAATTCAGATAAGAGGCAGAAACAACAAATCAGGCTCAAAGGCCAAGATAAATGGAGCAGGAAGCCTGGTCCAACAGAGCCCTGGCCCAGTGCCACTCAGCAGACAGACCTTAATAAAATCAGGATGAGGGTGACCCAGGCTGCAGAAGGCGGACTTTCTCGGGGATTTCAGGCCAATTATCTTTGACTCTGAAAAGGTAAGAATGTTTGCATAAATTCTGGAATCAGAAGGTGCTAGACTGGTTTGCTCCTTTTGAACTCTGTTGCTTCCTCTGCTGCACAGTTCTTGTAATGAAACCATTATTTATGATGATAAAATTCTGGAAAGAATTTGCATAATACATTTTTTCTCTTAATGAGATTTGTTGCCCTATTGATTTCAAGTTAATGCTTAATATTTAATTGAATTTACTGCCTGTAATTACAGTGCCAGAATAAAATAAATGTTACTTGTATACCAACAGTAACACTTTATTCCTAACAGGGCCATCAATCAATAAAGTCAATTAGGTAAATTATGCAATTAATTCAACTTCAAGAACTCATGGGGTGGAGAGGAACACAGAGCAGCTCCTAGGTGTGTTGGGAAAGTTGTCGGTATTGAAAGGCAAGAACTAGTTCTCCAGGGCAGTGTGAGGATATACCCATGACACGCTGGCCACCTGTGTGAGAGATCACCATAGGCAGTGTTGATGCCCCAAGTGGACAGAGCTCACTTTATTTCCATCTACCAGAGTATATATTTAGCTCCTGCTTGCTTTATTTTCAGAAAGGATTTAAAACGGTGACAAAAATATCAGTAATGCAAAATAAAAATTAAGCCAATGAGAGAAAACTCTTGCCACCTTCCTATCCTTGGGCTCACTGGATTGGGGTCTTTGAGGGGTAGGGTGAACCCCATGAAATGGCTTATAGGCAAGCACATGTGACATACAAAGACAGCTGTGTCACAGTGACCAATGTTGTTGGAAAGGAATAGGCATCATAGGTGTCATCCTTGCTAGCTCTTCAGAGCTGCTACTGAATCATTCCATGGAGCATGCACCATCAGATGGGGTCTGAAGAAGTTCCCTTAAAGAAGAGATGAGGACTCAGACTTAGCCAGGACAGGTTCTTGACATAAGGTCACAGAAAAGCATACCAGGGTGTGTCATTAAGATGAATAGGGAAATGTGTTAGGCAGAGTAAGAAAGTAAGAGAAAATTGGCTAAGAGACTTCAGCTTGAGGAGCTGAAGGGGGCAAAACTCTGATGGAGAAGATGAGATTGGCTCATCAAGATAGGAAGGCAGAGCTTTTCTGGAGCAGCTGGGGTGGGCTAGGATCTGGTCGATCATTATCTCAGTTCTGCTTTTGCAAGATGCCTGGAGAAGTCCTCATAGCCTAAGGGGGCAATCTGTTCTCCATGGGATTAGAATTTCTCTTTGAGGTGGTCTTCATTTTGCCAAGCCCATCAATCCATGATGACCAAAGTGACTGAAACTTGAGTGAAATGACTGGAGGCTTCTAGGTGTGCACTGAATTGAGCATCCTTGTAAATTTCTTATGTTGGTGTCCTCAGTCTTGAAGGGGGATGAGATAGGATATGTAAATTTAGGGCTAATCAACTTTATATTGCCAGCTTTTAGACAGACACTCCCTCTATGATTAACATGCCGATATGCAGAACTAAGCAAGGATCTAACTCCGAGTTTTAAGGGAATACAGGAGACAGATACAAAATAAATGTCAACCTTTATGCTGCATTTAGTTACCAACTGGGCATCTGGAGGCCCAAGTGAAGTTTCAGCAAAAGTATTGTTTGAGTCCTTGACGACATCAGAAGAAAACACAAATCAAACTTTTAATGAGTAACAAGTTAAGGATCCGAGTTCACCTGCTTTTTTTTTTTGGTCTCCATGGTATTCTCTTGATGGTCTCCCACAGAGTTCATAAAATGAAACAAGATCTGTTCCTGTTCCTGTACACTGGTCCGGGTTGGAGTATTCAGCTCTGGAAAAGGCAAAAGTAAGAAGGTAGTAAAAGGCTGAGAGAAAGCGGCTGAGCAAGGCTGAATAGGCTGAGCACAAGCAATTTTTCAGGCAGAGAAAACTGTGTGGTACTGTAATGGCAGATACATGTCATTACACATTTGCTGAAACCTAGCAGATACACAACACGAAGGATGCACCCTAATCTAATGTGTGGACTTTGATCAATAATGACCAATGGTGCCCTTTGGACTTCTCTCCCACTGCAGGGCATCCAGATGGTGTGTGAGACACTGACAGAGTGCTGGGACCACGACCCAGAGGCGCGTCTCACGGCCCAATGTGTGGCGGAACGCTTTAGCGAGCTGGAGCACCTGGACAGACTCTCCCGGAGGAGCTGCTCGGAGGAGAAGATTCCCGAAGATGGCTCGCTGAACACTACCAAATAGCTCTTCGGGGAAGGTGAGGCCCAGTCCAAAGAGGCCACCCCTCTCACCAAAGAACAGAGGGAGCAAGAAGCTGCCCCTGAACTGATGCTTCCTGGAAAACCAAGGCTCACTTCCTCCCTATAAGCTGTGTGATGAGCAGAAACAGCAGCAGCAGGGAGAGGTGACAGAAAGCATTCTATGCCTTTGACTTTGTCATGGGATAAGCTGTGTTAGCACTTCCTCAGGAAATGAGATTGATTTTTACAATAGCCAATAACATTTGCACTTTATTAATGCCTGTATATAAATATAAAATAGCTATGTTTTATATATATATATCTATATATGTCTATATCTATATCTATAACTATATCTATATCTATAGCCATACTCTGAAAAGAGACAAAGAAAAAAGATCAAATATTCCCAGGAAAATTGGTTTTATTGGAGAGCTCCAGAACCTGGCAGAGAAGGCAAGGATTCATGACAGCATTAGCACTTGACAATCACACATGCGATGATTCTCTGTCCATTTTATGGGGGAGAACTTTGCATTAGGAGAGTGGATCCCCATCTCAGAGCCATGCTGCACTAGCTTTTGCAATAGTAATTCCTTTCAGGATAGTTCTTTTCTGGCCATGGAGCTAAGTATAATCGCACTGTTTGGGGACCAGTATTCCTGAGGTTCCTGTGTGCCTTTGTTCCTCTTGGACTTTTTGCTTCACCTCCAAGCCCTGCATCTGACTTGTGAACCTCTTTCCTCAACCAAGTTCACAAACTCAGCCCCAACTAATAGTTAAAATGCTTTAAATCTCATCTTTTCTTTTCACAGGCAGTGGAAAAATCAGAAAGACACATTTCCCCACCCATCATGGAATTGCCACACAGTCTACTAATAAGATTGTTCTTTTAAATTTTCTCACTTTGCCAATGTTACTATTGTCCACACCAGGCCTTCATCCTTTTCTAAAATGGAATGAACTCCCCAACTGGTGGGGCTCATTGTATTTAAATGTTTTGTCACACTTGACCCGAGTCTACAGTTTCTATGCAAACACTAACATGATGCATCTTTCTTACCTCCCGAATGCACATTCTGCCCTGGTGGAAAGGATTTAAACTATACAATCCTGTCACTATCAAGACTGTGTCCTCCAGACTTTCTGAACAAATGTTTTGCTTGATTAACACAGTGTTTAAAAGAGTTGAGCCACTTTTTAAATATTTGGAGATTTTGCAGAAAAATCTGGATCCCACATAAGGATAGCAAATGGTTTCCAGGTCTCTCCAGGCCACATTGCTTACAAAGTGAAGGCAGACTGTCTTCAAAAGCTGCTGCACTTCTCTCTGTAAACATTTGTGCTTCCCATGCCTGTCACCACCCCTTACTAAGGGCCCGTGTAAAAAACATGCATTCAAGGGTTCATTCTATGGCAGTGTAATAGGATTTTAACTATCTTATCTGGTGTTAAAATTTGAAATTCACCTTCTGTTGGATTACAGGGGACTTCCTGTATATTCACCTCATTAACCAAGTCTCTTTTGCTTATATGCTAAGAATTTTCCCCTCTGTCTTAGGGATGAAAAGTCTTAACTCCAAGAAGCTTTCTTCCTGGTTACAGATCTCTGTATTATGTCACCCTTCCCAGCCTTTGCAGAAATTACTCTTGTGGACTTGGATGTAGGACATCGAAGTCCCATTTGCAGTTAGGAAATCTGGGTCCATGTGGACAAGAGCAAAAGATGAGCTTTAATACTCCATAGGAAACTTGTTAACACACAAACAAGTGTTAATGCTGCAAGCATCAATCTTTTCAAAAAAATGTTTTTGAAGCTACTTATTTCCCACCAAATAGGAATATGAGAGAAGGATTGGCAGGAGCCATATAAGGTCTGTTTGCAATGTGGAAGGTCTTATCTCATTTAGGTTTTAGGACATATGCTGAACAGGGGACGGAATTTCTAGGCACCCTTCTAAGTGTGGTTGGGGAGAAAGTGAAGGGTTGTTTTCCTGCAGTGCCACAGAAGCACCCAGAAATTCCACTTGCACCTTAGGACTTGCTGATGCCATCCCAATAGCTGTTGCTCATTGACCTCTAGTGGTGAACTGCTAGAATACTGCTCCATCGATGGGATAGTCCATGATTTAAGAGGCTTCTCATTTCCTGGTCATCGTCAGCAGAAACTGGAATGTAATGTCAGGTGATAACTGTGGGTTGTTTTGTTTATGTTTTTTTCTTATTCAAGAAAAAAGACCAAGGAATAACATTCTGTAGTTCCTAAAAATACTGACTTATGTTCACTACTATGCACAAAGGAAAAGTTTTATTCTTTTACGGAACACTTCAGCTGGACTCATGTATTAAAATAGGAATGTGAAAAATAAATACTCTTTTTATACCAAAAAATCGTAAGCACTTCTTTTCATTCTATACATTGTTTGTCTTTTATATAATTAAAATGTTTATTAGACTGAATAAAGCAAAAGTGCTCAGGTGAACTTCCTGCTTCCTGTTCATGTTCCTACTAGTTAGGCCCATTTGCCTCACTTGATGATTTTGCAAGTTATGCAGAGAGTGTCAGTGGACAAATCCTTTCCAGCGTTACCATATTTATTATCTCTTCCCATGAACTCCTCCAAAAGCTTACTAATATGAGATGAAGCAGTAGCTATTGGAGCAGAGATACACTTACTCTTTAGTTTTGTGCCCTGCTTTTTATCCCTCGGTGTGCTGGCATGACCTCTTTCCTGTTCCCAAGAGCTATCTTTATCCACATGGCTCTTGCTTCCAGGGCTTGCCACAGTGAAGACTGCTTCAAAGAATTTGCACCTCCATATATTCTTTTTTTTCTTCACTCTAGCAGACCCTCAGCTGTCTTTGTGACTGTGCTCATATGATGTATTTTGTCCCTGTTTCGTTCTTCTCAGTACTGCATCCCATACGTGCTTTTAATGGATTTATCTCAATGGAAGATGAATATGCCTTAGAAAGTTGACTACAGATCATTGCTTTAAGGGTTTCTTGTGACAAAATAGATGATATTTTCTGACTGAACTTGGAAATACCTGTTTTGGAAGCTGAGGGATTTGTGGTTTCTTCTGAGTTATCAACTGGGTTCCAAACAAGTTGTTTCTTTTTTTTTTTGCTACCGGGGATCAAACTCGGGTCCTTGCACTTGCAGGGCAGGTGGTAAAACCACTGAGCTAAGTCACCAGCCCTAAAGAGATAAGTTTCTAAATAAGGTACATTGTGGTTTTCACCCTCAGAATGGCTGACATTTTGTGATGAATAATTCTTGTTGGGAAGAGAGTTTGTGCTGTGCATTATCAGATATTTGGCAGTATCCTTGACCTCTACCCACTAGATGCCAGTATCACCCACCTCCAACTGTGACAAGCAAAAATGTCTCCACATACTGCCAAATGTCCCCTAGGGAACAAAGACCCTCTTAGCTGAAAATCACTGAGCTCTGTGAGTGTTAGTTATAGTTCTATTTTAAATAGTAGCAATGTAGCAGTGACAGGTTTTACTGGTTACATGCTCTTCTCCATTACCATTCATGTAATCTGGTGAGATTGCTTACCCTCCCATACCTCCATGCATTATGGATAGAAGTAGATTTTACAAGACTCTTCAGTTACGTACAAGACATAGTCTTGTGGTGAGCAATATACACGAGGCTTTGTAGTTGTGTCTTGAACTTGGAAAACCTTCAGAGCATATTGGTCAATACTAAGTTGATTTAATATCAAGAACTGCTTTTGCAAAGAGACAGATTTTTAGGTAAATCCTAGAGAATAGTAATAACAGAGGAAAACAGACATATTCTGCAGGCCTATAGGACAGGGAAGTAAGTATCTTGTATGGGTGTTGATAATCCAAGCAGTGAATGAGAATGCTCATTCACTGAGTACCTACTGTGTTATTAGATTTCACCTGCCATTATCTCCATGAGACAGATATGCCCATTTCACAGGTAATGAATTAGATTCTCAGAGAGCTCAAATAAGAAGCTCAGGTTTCACAAGGTAAATTCTGGGTATGAAGCCAAGTTGTTCTGGAACTGGAATTTAGAACAACTGAAATGCTTGGTTCTTTTTTCTGCTTCATGTTGTCTCCTGAAGAAACTGGCCTGCCCAGCAGGACAAAGAGCCTACTCAGTCCCTGAGGAAATGCCCCACTGCTCCTTCTGTACCACATGATTCTTGTTCTCATCTCTCTTCCCTATGGTTCTGTTTGCTCCATGAAAGCCAGAAGCTGCTATTTCGTCTCCATTGCTCAGTTTGCTGTCCATTCACCTGATAGGTATAAAATGCTTGCTGAGTGAATGATTGGGAAATGAGTGAATGTGTATTAACAGTGTTTCCCAATATGGAAAATGGGTAGTGGTATCTAAGATGTGCCAACCTTTAAAAATATTTTAGCAGATCTGCTTTTATTCTAATATATATTAGAGAAAAATTACATTAACACATTAAGCCAGGACTTTCACAAATATTGATTGAAATATGACCAAGTAAAAAATTGAATTGATTTTAAAAATACATTAAGTAAATAATGGCATTTATTTATGGCAATTACAGAGAGATATGAATATGAATGCTTGATATCAGGGAGCTCTACCCAAGGAAGCAAATTCATATCAATTGTTAATGTTTCTTCAGCACTCAGTAAGTGCCAGGCATTATTCTCTGCTTTGCTTGCTTTAATTCTTACTACCAAATTATGAAGCAGTCTTCCATATTCTAGATGAGGAAACTGAGACAGAGAGCCAGCTCTTGCTAAGGGTCCCATAGTTTGTGATTTTTAGCACCAGGGTTTGAACTGGAACAGTTGAGTAGCTGAGCTCAAACTCCTAGCCAGCACTGGAGTTGAAATTGGAGTTAGAGGGCAACATCTTGTTGACCAGAGAGATCAAGGGTCTGATTCACAGTCTAAAATATGGAGGAAGAAGATACAGTTCATACTGAAGTGGGGGACGCCATCCAGACTCCAGGGAGAGAAAGTCATTCCTCAAACACACAAGGACTCTGGACTCAAACCCAAGAGCTTTAGCCAAAACAGGAGCCAAGGTTTTCTAACTCTCCTTCCAGGCTCTGTTCTGCAGGGGTTATTTAAGTTCTTGCTACTGCAAGGTTAGGCGCATTCCCAGCTGTCAATAAGCTGCCAAATGCCCTCAGCAAGATCTCAGTCTTGTACCAGTCAGCACCTTTTGAATGGAAGTCTCCCTTTGTGCCCAGGAGTTGATATTTTGTGATAGCTTCATCTTAAGCTCTCTATGCAAATAACATGCTAATAGTCCAGTCCCGAGGGAAATCCTTTCCCTGGGTGACAGACAGGAAACTTTTCATTTAAACAAGTGTGTCTGTTCCTTTTCACTAAAGCCTCCACATTGGCATCTGCTCATTTTGTTCACTTTCCTTCTGAAATAGGCTGCCTAATAGTTGCTTATCACATTTCTAATTAGTTTCTTTTTTTTTACATGAATAATGATAGCTCCACACTCTGTGGGCTTGGGGCCATGTCTTTCAGGCCTAGTTTGCAAACTGTGCTGATAAAGACAAGATTGTGAACTTGCCCATATTACATGGCCTGCCAATCAGTCTCACACAGTGTAATTTAATTCTAATATGCCTCCTGATCTCCAGTGCATTTAAAAATAACTTGTTAATAGTCTTCCTATTCTAATTAAGCTAAAATTGAACACTCTGCAATGCCTTGCTCTCTTGTGCATTTTTTCCCTTTACACAGACACACTGTTGAGGCTTAAAAGTCATTTCTGTTCATCTGAACATCTGTTCCCCAAACTTATGCACCCAGTGGAAACCACAGAATAAGATAATTGCAGCCATGGTATTTTACAATCATCAAAATATTAATAATAATCTCAAAATTCATAGCAAATGATCAAAATTGGAACCCTCTGGGGTTCCTCTCTAGGCATGTGGCCACTAACTGAGTGACTGGTGTTAAGGGTTTTTATTTTTTGATTTCTAAATGTGTGATGTTGGTAGGACCTCATTGGGAAAGTTGTAGGAATCAAATAAGATACTATTTTAAAAGTGGTAGAACAGAGACTGGTATACATAAGCATTAGCTGCTGCTGTTGTTATTATTATTACTGTTATACATTCCTTAAAGGAAAGCTGTGTTGATGTGATATTTTAGGGATATATTGTTCCCAAAATCTTTGAGTGAAATAGACTCCTGGGGAAGACGTATCCTGTGTGGCCTGTAACTGTGTGCAGAGCACCATTATCCATGAGGGGGCTGCTTAAACCAGTCATCGGAATGGCTGCAGAGGTGAATACAGGGGCTTGTAAGACAAGAAATCTTAGGTTTAAGTCTACCTCACCACTGCTCTCTTCTTCTGTGACTTTGGTCCCTTGCTCTTTTGCATCTGGGAATTATCCCTGCCTTGCCTATATTAGAAAGCTGAAGGTAAAAATGAAATAATAAATAAAACACTTCGAAAACTTGCTAAAATATCATCAATGTAAACTCTAAATTTTTCTGGAATATTAGACCCTAATTCATTAGCATTGTGATAGGCATTTTGAAATATATTAATGGCTATGCCAATCATATTAGCAGCTTTACAAGGTAGGTATTTTTTCTCTGTTTTACAGTTAAGGAAATTGAAATAAATATCTTATCCAAGTTTGTGCCATTTGAACCCATGTCTTTCTCAATACAAAACTGTTCACTCCTCCACACTCTTTTTTCCCATACTTATTCCCTTCATCCAACATGAATAAGTGCTATACAAACCAGCATACTGTCAACATCTGCTGGCATCTCAAAAGCAAAATAAATGTGCTGCTCAGTCTCTTTTCCAGCATCCAGCCCAGAGTGAAGCACATAATAGCCTCCTAATAAATTTTATTGCAAGAAGAAATGAAGAGCCTTGGTGTTTAGAAGTCCATGATCCAGCTGAGGAGACAGATGGATAAAAGCATATCAGCAAGATGTCCCAATGAGCAATGTCTCTTGGAATAAAATACCCAGTGACTAAAAATTTCTGGATTTTACAAAGAAGCTCCTCGTGTGAGCCTGGCTGCTGGGGCCAATAACCCTCCTGTAGTGAGGGAGGACACTGTCTTGGATATCTTAGTGCTCTCTCATAGAGGAAATGGGAGGAGGACATTTACTGGCTTTGTATCTGTATTCAAGGGGCTTAATATGAGTCCATTGGATTAGGACATAGTTTATCATGTAATAGGCCTAGAGAGCACAGTGAGGTGACAGAGTTTATACAAGTCATAATAAATAAACTGCCATTTGATAAAAAAGCTGTTTCTGAAGACAAGCACTCTTTTGTCCTGTTGGGAGAGATGATCTGAGTGATTGGATGAACTGGCTGGCA